AAGTATTTGTTAAGCATAAATGATATCCCTATTTTATGAATCAAGTATAAGCTTTGTTTTGAATGGCAATGTATCAAGTAAGCTTTGTTTTGACGACGTTTTCGGAAAGTCCCTTGTGCTGGAGGACTCTAAACTTGTGCAGCACCCAAGTGTTAAAGGGCTATGGGCCTTCTTACTTGGTCTTGTTTTGCCACTGGCGGGTTACCGCGTGGGTCTTGTAAGTAAGTAAGTTTTGAAGGACCAAGGTTATGCCGAGGTTATGTTATAAGATTTGACGCATGTAAATAAGTTTTGTAAGATCAAGTTTGATGAACAAGATTTATCTCATGTTTTGTACAAGCTATGATATGTATGGTTTTGACAAGGATATACTATGTATTGTTTTGAAAAGACTTCGGGAGTCATTCATTTAACCCCTTTATTACTTATACCATTCACTGAGTATCCAAGCTCACCATCCCTATGTATATATGTAGGTAACAAGCAAGAAGTCGGCTACGCCGAGATGTGTGTCTTGTATGCATGTCATGTCGGCAGTGAGGATGTCGACAATTTTTGAAGATTATGTCTCTTGACTTGTATTCCATGTATTATGTTTATGTCGGCTTGAGAAGCCTTTTTCCAAGATGTAATATGTATTTTTGTACTTCATTTCTATTTGTATTCAAGTTGTAAAGCTATGTAAAGATGTGTGCCATTTCATTTGGCTTATGCACTGCTCTTATGGACCACTTGTATTTTAGATTATTGCTTCCGCATTTGTGAGCCCCCTATATCTGTACTCTGATTGTGTGTGTTTCCTTGAAAGTTGGCCTTCGGTAATCTCGGATTACTGGCCATCACGGCACCAAACAACTAGGGGCGGTTTGGGGTCGTGACAAACCTTTCCTCTATCCTATCTAAATTTGGCTTATCTAATTAGTGAGCTCGTAGTTGGTAAAAAAGGTGTTGGGTCCTCATTTCAAATTCTATTTGCTTTAAAGCTTTCTCCACTTCATCCATCTTATTCACCCTATACATATCACCCATATTGGCATCTTCTCTATACTCTGAATCATGGTTCTGGAAGTCTTCATACTCTTCAAGAAGATTCTCTGCCTCGTATTGGGTTTGAACATAAATGGCAGAGATCTTCTCCAATGATTCACTGGTGGCGGAGGCATTTTTGTGCCAGTTAAGCAGTAGGGGGAGTTGGTCCAAGAAAGTGTGAAGTTCTGCTTGGGCCACATGATTAAGTTTGTGACTTCGGGAGACAATGTCACAAGCCCATAAAAAGTTTTGATAAAGGGTGTCACCTTGAAGGACTTTGAAGAACAAGTGGGAAAAGGTAGCAAGTAGGGTTTGGGCTTTCTACTGCTGGTAAGCAGTTAGAGGAACTAGAGCTTGGTATGGGGTCAAATACTGACCTTCGAAGATGTTAAGTTTTAGTTCCTTAATCCAATTAGGATTAAAAGGAATGAGAGGCGCAGTTGGGTTCACTCCAAAAGAAGGCAGAAACTGGGGCTCATTCACACATTCTATCCAGTCAAAAGAGCAAAGCTTTGCCTTCTTAGCCAAGAGTGATGGACTTAGTTCCAAAGCTTTGATTAGATGAGGGGTTTTCTATACTATTTTTGTCAACAAGGTGAAAAGATACCACACCGAAAGAAGGTTGTCTTCGAGGCAGTGGAGACGGTCAAGTGACACATACGATTATAGTATGGAGCTGCGCGAAAAAAACAAGTCTGTGATGAATTCGTTCCCTTGTTTGGGGTTGGGTTGGTGTTGGCCAAACATTCCAACCAGTAATTCTAGTAGAAGATGAGGCAGTTTCATCCCACGCAGAAGGTTTTTGAGTAGATGAAGAGCTTTCAAGATCTATTTGGGCAAGTTTTCGGTCTAAGGGCATACATTCTGCAAAAGCCTCCATAACTTGTATAAATGGAGGAGGGTAAATATGGCTAATAAATGCATGGAAGTTCTTTCGAGGCTGACCATCATTGTTCAAAGCCTCTTCGTATACTTCATCAATGAGGGAAAAGATTTGGTTAGCCATTAAAGATGTATTAATCCCTTGCTTGCACATATAATGGAGGTAAGGACCAAACGCAAGAGGAAGTTCAGTGTTTTAAACATTGCTTGGAGACGGTTATACTTCTAGGATAATTGATTACCATGCACATCCTAGGACGTGGGCAAAACACATTGATCCACTAATATTACCAAGTATTGGCTATATTAGTGCGGGGGGTAATGTTGGCTATATATTTTGTAAAAACCTATCGCAGCTTGACACATGGATCATAAGGGGCAATTAGGGGAATCAGTAAAGGTCTCTAATCATCAACAGACGCGTGGCAACTTGTAGCAGTGACAATGGATCCACGAAACATGGAAACAGTCAAGGTACCCAAGATGACGTGGCCAAACAGTTGCTTACAATTTAAATTCGAATTCAGGAGGGAAACCCAACCGTGAGAGTGGAATAGTGGAAGCAAATTGTTCAAAGCCATACTTAGTGATCATGAAGATCACATTGATAGTTATCACCTACTTCGACGCTTATCAGCCACTTCGACGGTTATCTTCAGAGCCTATAAATAGAGGAAAGTACTGATAATGCAGGGACCAGAACCAGATCTAGAAACTAGTTTATTTATTTTACATATTCCAGTCCTTTAAATTCTAGTCTTTTACTTCCTGTACTACACTTCAAATTCCTAGAAGTAATTCTAAAGTAGTTTGTTGATGTAATCCCCTTCGAAACCGTGGAAGTGCGAAGGTACTATTGTAAACTTTTGTTTACTTAATGAAGTTTGATTTTTGCCACTATTTTTTCCTCTTTCTTTTACTTTCATTAGTCTTCTTAATTTTTTCCTAAAAACTAAACCACTAGTAAAGTCCTCTTCATTGAGGCTAAAAGAATTTTGAAGCAATTGTTTGACTAATTGGTTGACATTTTCCTAATCTTTGTAAGGACTTATTGATTTTTGCTGGCACGCTCGAATTATATTTCTAACCTTTGAAAGTAAAAAAAGTCAAACAGTTCTTCAATCATTATCTATGTAAAATATAGAAAGACCCTTTTTCTTTTTCTTTTTGTGTGTGAATAAGAAGGGATACGATTTGTTTATATTTATATAAGACTCGTAGAAGCAGATATATGATTTTTAGTATTCAACTCTAAAAATAAAGAAATAATTAATTTATATAGAATTTTTCATGATTTTTAGAAAATATAATAAATTTAAAAAAGGAAAATTTAAAATTTAAAAAAAAATAAAATATCACATTTTAGTTAGGGGTCTTTTGAGAAGTAACTTTTTATCCAACTTTAACTTTTTACCTATTTTAAATCACATTACCTCTCACATTTTTTACTCATAGAAAAACAAAATAGACTAAAAAAACAAAAAAAAAAAAACAACCCCTTAATAAAATTGTTAGAACATATAGAATTATTTCATACATACGTACTAAAGATTTTTCGATGGGAAAATTGTCATACTATAAGGGTGTGTTTGATTGGACGGACTGGAAAAGGGGGGATTAGAATCCATCGGACTTGAGTCCTGGGACTGTGAATCCCCCGGACTATTTGGTTGGATTGGATATGTATCCTGTGTTTGTTTTTTCATGGGATTAGATGTCTGGATAGGACTATTTTCAGTGAATCCAACGTTTGGTTGGACGGACTGGATAGGATAAATGAACAAAAGACTATTTTACCCTTTTTCAAGTGTTTACTAAATAACAATATTAAATCTGTCTTTAAATGTAATCTTTATTTATAATTGATTAGTGGACCACAATTAATTATTTAATTTTTTCAATGTTTTTTTTTAGAACCATTGTTTTTTTTTCAAAGTTTGAAACATATATTTTTCCAATATTTATATTTTTTAATGGTCACATTTTTTAAATATAAATAAGACCATGTCCCTTCTAATTTTTATCCAACACAAAAAAATTATTTCTCCAACACAACACACCAGCACTTCATGGTCTTATATCCAACACAACAGCACTCCATAAATGAACAAAAATTATATACTCCACCACTCCATAAATGTCCAACATAACACACCAACAATGTATAAATGAACAAAAATTTGAAAGCTAGGGTTTCGGAGCAGATGGGGGAGATTCGGAGTGTGGTGGAGATGGCTCAATTGGAAGTGGAGAAGAAACATGATGAGGTTGTATGAAACTAACATTTTACTCTGTATGAAAGTAAAATTTTACACTCTGAAACTAAAGTAAAATTTTACTCTGTATGAAAGTAAAATTTTACTCTGTATGAAAGTAAAATTTTACAGTCTGAAACAAAGTAAAATTTTACTCTGTATGAAAGTAAAATTTTACTCTGTATGAAAGTAAAATTTTACACTCTGAAACTAAAGTAAAATTTTACTCTGTATGAAAGTAAAATTTTACACTCTGAAACTAAAGTAAAATTTTACTCTGAAACAAAGAAAAATTTTACTTTGTTTGAAAGTAAAATTTTACACTCTGAAACAAAGTAAAATTTTACTCTGTATGAAAGTAAAATTTTACACTCTCAAACTAAAGTAAAATTTTACTCTGTATGAAAGTAAAATTTTACTCTAAAACTAAAGCAAAATTTTACTCTGTATGAAAGTAAAATTTTACTCTGTATGATCTGTGCTCTCACAATTACAGAGGACACAAAATATATATTATGAGGGCAAAATGGTCATCTCACCCCTCTAATCCAAACAGTGAATAATCCTACCAAAATTATCCCACCCCCGGACAGTGGAATCCCCCATATGGGGGATAAGGAGTCCGGTCGGACATGGAGTCTGGCGGACTAAAAAAAAAATCAAACAGCGGATAAAGAGCACTATTTGAATTACAATCCAAATAGTGGATAGTCCCCCCTAATCCGGCGAATCAAACACGCCCTCAGAGTTGTCTCCTTTTCTTCCGATGTACCAGAAGGTAAAAAAAAAACACAGGTTGGTCTCGACCTAACCATGGTTTAAATTTTACTAGGGTTTGGGCATTTTGCGTTTCAATTGAACTGCTCGATAGCTACACTTCCACAACGTCTCTGCTCTGTCCCTCTTTTTCACTCACTCCCCGATCTCCAATCGTCTCCTACACAGATCAATTTTTGCATCTGTCTCTGTAGTAAGCATCTGTCTCTCTCTCTCTAAATATATTTGTATAGATAATTATATGTTATATGGACTTGAAAATTTTGATCTTAGGGTTTTCACACATCGCGGAAACGACTCTATCTCAATCAAACCAGAAAATTAGTGCGTAGGGTTTGGATTGCTAGTTATGTTCCTCAATTTCTTTAGATTTGTGCATTTGTAAGCGAAAAAGATATTTATTTTGAGAATCACTAGTGCATAGCGTAAACAAAAGTTACATTTTGTTAGAGATTTATTTGTATGCACGACACAAATAACGAAAAACAAATGTTTTGATTTTCTTTTCTTCACTCTGGTATCGAAATTTGTGTTGGAAAAACGTCTTTCCCTTGGGAATTTACCGAATGTATCACATTTGCTCTTTCATGTTTTATTTTTATGTTCATTTTCAGAACATGCGGTCTCTACATATCTCTTGTTCTAATCTGATACGAGACAAGTTTTGTTAGTTTTGGCTGAGAAATGGCAATTGTTTTGTTCACCAGAACAGAACCCTTTACACGTTTTGTTTGGTTGGGGATTTGTGAAGAGATTTGAAAAGAGAAAAGGAAAATGTAGGTGAAATGTGAATAAAATATGGATACATTTCAACTACTTTCACACACATTTTCTCTTTCCTTTTCGAAATCTTTTTCCAAATTCTCTAACCAAACACAGTGTTAAAAGAAAAAAATGAAAAGAAAAAATGTACCTTAATGCAAAATCTACTAAGATCAGGGTAGAAACTAAAGTGATCATGTTTTTGAATGTTACCTGTGTTATATTATACCCAGTTGTTTATTTTGTCTGGAATCCGGTACAGATCATCTTAGCAAAATCACTTCACTTTGATTGCTCAAGTATTGCCCTCATACTGATGTTTCAATCTATTTGCAACATTGATCATTACCTAGTCAAAGGAGATCTATGGATCCTTCAGAACTTAGGTATTTGGAAGATGATGATACCCCAATGATGAAAACAATCAAGGGTGCAACCACTGGTTTAGCTGCCGGTACTATTTGGGGTACCATAGTTGCTACTTGGCACGATGTGCCTCGTGTTGAAAGAAGTGTTGCACTTCCAGGGTTGATGAGAACCCTCAAAATGATGGGTAACTATGGGATGACTTTTGCTGCGATTGGCGGTGTTTACATAGGTGTAGAGCAGCTGTTGCAGCATTATAGGATGAAGAGGGACTTTATCAATGGAGCTGTTGGTGGTTTCGTTGCTGGGGCTACTGTTCATGGTTACAAAGGTGACACTTTGTCTTTGACGCATTTAGATTGCTGTATTATTCTTTTCCTCTTGTGAATTTTGTTTAATATTGTAACACGTATTTTGGTGGTTGTGACATTTTTATGGTTTCATGAGGGAGAAATGTTTGTAAGGAATTCTAGTCATATGGAAATTAATGGATGCTGAAGAAATTCAGAGTCTATTCATTTCATTCACAAATGTCTATTACAAGGAGGTTATATATAAGAGTGAGAGATACAAGTTGTACAGTTGGAATGTGACTAACTTGGTAACAAACTCAAAAGTCTAGCTACTTGACAAGTTACATCAGCTGGACTATATCCAGCGGCTGTTGCTTCAGCTGATACTCACACTTCATGAACAGCTGCTGATGCTCTATTGGCTTCTGCTGTAAATGCTGCACATCAATTGGCTGCGTCACTTTGTTATATACACTATCACATGCATCTTTGTTCTAGTTTCACTAGCTTGGTATGGAATGGGTGATTTCCAATTTCGACTTCTATTTCCTTTGTTGAGCCTCAATATCTTCTATATTATTTATGGTTCTTTGCATTTTCTTGACCTAACAATAGGAACTGAATCTGTGCATTGTGGATTCACAATCCACTGCCTTAAACCACTTGGCTACACCCGGCCCCATAAACGATTCAATTTTAACCATTCACCATTATTTCTTTCTTATCTTATTTTGAGATTGCTCTTCTAGAAACTGAAAGGGGTATGGGAGCATATCTTTTATTTGTTAAGAAAAATACTTAGGAGACTTTATACTTCTTGTTGTAGTCATCAGTGAATTGAAACTTTTGTGGATTGCTAGATTCATAGTTTGCTGTGTTTCTTAGTTCTTAGATTAAAACTGCACTTTTTCTTCTTTCTTTTTTTTCCCTATCTTTTCATTTTGTTTAAGTGTTTTTGTTCACTTTTTTTTTTTGTCATGAGTTTGGACTAGGAAGAGTATTTTAGTGTCAATTTATAAGAATAAATGAGATGTCCAGAATTGCAACAACTATAGAAGAATCAAGCTGATGTGTCATATAATGAAAGTGTGGGAGTGAGTGGTGGAACGTCAATTGTGAGATATAACAGAGGTGTCAAAGAATCAATTTGGATTTATGCCTGGTAGGTCAACAATGGAAGCGATCTATCTTTTGAGAAGAGTGATACAAAAATATAGAGAAAAGAAAAAAGACATTCATATGGTTTTTATCGATCTTGAGAAAGCATATGATAGAGTGCTTCGGGATATAATCTGGTTGGTGTTAGAGAAGAATGTCTTTTTTATCACTATAATCTGGTTGGTGTTAGAGAAGAATGTCTTTTTTAGAGAAGAAAAAGGTGACAAAAGGTTACATTGATGTGATTAGGGATATGTATGAAGGTGTGATGGCCACTATTAGATCGCCTATTGGAAAGACAAGTGAATTTCTGATTACTGTGGAGTTACATCAAGAGTCAACCTTAAATCTTTATATTTTTACTTTAGTTATGGATAAGTTGATGAGAAATATTTAGAATGATGTGTCATAGTGTATGCTTTTTGCAAATAATATTGTGTTAATGGATGAGACTAAAGAAGGAGATAACACTAATTTGGAGACTTGGAGAGAAACATTTGAATCTAAAGGATTTAGGATAAGTAGAACTAAGACAGAGTACATGAAGTGTAATTTTAGTAACAGTAACAATGTAAATAGAGGAGAAGTGAAGATTGAGAACCAAGAACTACTTAAGAGTAAACATTTTCATTATTTAGGATCGATTATCACCACGGCTGGGGAGATTTGCGCGAATGTGGTCCATAGAATTAAGATAGGATGGCTTAAGTGGAAGAGTGTGTCTAGCGTACTGTGTGATAACTGAGTACCCACTAGACTAAAAGGAAAATTCTATAGAATGATTATTAGACTAGTGATGTTGTATGGGACGGAATATTAGGCAACTAAGAAACATGTAGATAAGATGAGTGTTGTTGAGATGAGGATGATAATGTGAATGTGTGGCAAGACTAGAAAATACAGAGTTAGGAATGAGGTATATTTGTGAATGGGTAGGAGTAGTAATGATAGAAGATAAATTGAGAGAGAACAGTTTGAGATGGTTTGGTCACATACATGCAGCAGCGAAGAGATACAATACAGTGGCAGTTGATGGAAGTGTTAGAGGAAGGGTCTGACCTAGATTGACGTGAGCTAGTATAGTAAATAGATATATGAAAATCCTTAATTCGACTGACTAAATGGCTGTTAATAGAGTTGAGTGGAGAAGAATGATTCATGTAGCCGACCCCATTTGATGAGACTTAAGGCTTGATTTGGTTTGGTTTAGTTTGGACTAGGAAATATGGTGGAATTTAGTTTTCAAAATTATTACTTGCTTAACTTGTTGAACCTTAATATGATGATTCAATGAAAGAATTCTCAAATAAGAAGCATATGATGTTGAGTTTGAGTTTGGCTTAAAACATATGCTAAAACGATAATATGGGAGTTTTGTGTTTGTCATTTGATTGAATGCAATATGGTCAATTTTTCTTAGATGATTAAGTTTACATTGGGTGATTATTCTTTTGGGATAGAGCTTTTGCATTGAAAGAACTCTCAAGTGATCAAGATGGTGCGAGTGTCCGAAACTTCATTGCATGCCAGAGTGCCTCTCACTGCTCCCACAATCTCTCTCGCCATATCTGCACCCTGCAATCGGTGTTGCGGGAGCGAGAACCTTTGGGGGTGGTATAACAGGAGGCGGTGCGCCTTTGCCAGCACGTCTACCTCTACCTTTACCGCATCGAGTTCATGTCGACATCCTATTAAGAAGCAAACGCAATCTCAAAATAAACAATTTAACTCATCTCGGCGAGATACTCACACATCACTCCAACTTAACAAACTACCAAAGTTAACAAATTAGATCACACTCACTCCACATAAACCTAACATTCACACCACTTAATACATAATCGAGCTAAGTCTATAGACATTACTTGCTCTAGAATTCTCTTAGAATTCCAACTAGAAGCAACATTAATCAAGTGTGTTTCCAATGAGATCTCTAAGTTAGTTAATAGATACCAAGCACTATCCGTGAAGCTTAACACCATACCCAAATAAGATGCAACACATAAGCATGGTATCATTTAGGACACAAACATGTAAATGTCCTCACCGTGCGAGATAAAACCCATTGTGGTTAAACCACTTCCCACGAGCCCATGGTTTTCACATCTGGCTAGCTAACATTAAGTTGTCACACTCCGAATTTCCAAGATCTAACCCATGTGAATAATCCAATACATAATAGACAAAAGGACAATTAATAAAAGAAAATAAAAGGGTGAACTCTCATACATGCTTAATCAACATCATCCATTCCATAACATAATTCCATTACATACATCCTATATTTAGATTCTAGGTGAAATAAATATAAAGTATGTAAATCAAGCTATTAGAGTTAAGTGTATGGTAAAGTTGCCCTAAGGCTTACAAGACAAAAAGGGTACAACCCTTAATCAAAAATGGCTCACGGCCTAAATAAAATAAGGACCCTAAGCGTTAACATCAAAAGGCTCCTCAAGCTCAAACACACATTTTGGGGCATTGCCTCAAATCCGAGGCACACTATGAACAGCTAAAAAGATTTCAGTCACATAGGGTGGTGAACATCTACCCAGTAGAGAATATTTCATAAACCAATACAATTCCGCAAGTATAGATGATCAGGATGCTATACAAATATAACATGTTTAAGATGTTTTGATTAAACCACCATTTTTCCAACATCAACACCAAGACTCGGTGAATCCCCCATGTGTCTGCCAGTGGTCATTGCTAAGCACCTCCTAAAACTAGTACACAAACTCACAAGTCTATAGGGTTTTCACACACAATTTTAGGGTTTTCTCAAAATAGGTATCCATATGCAATTTGTTATAATAAAAATAAGTTTGATAAGAAACAAGTGCGAAAACCCACCAAAATCACCAAACCTTGATCTCAAATACATGCTCTTTCCAAATCAACAACATGATGTTAATTTTATACTGAACTACCACGAGTACACCAATAAACTCATATAGAGTCTAAGAAATAGAACCCTACCTCTTGTAGAGAAAAGGAGAAGCTAGGAGCAATGGTGAATGTGCAAATCAACTTTTGGCCGAAAATAAAACAATGCTCCCGCCAAGCTTTGCAATACCAGAGAAGGAGATGGACATCAAATCCAAGTCTAGATGCCTCAAAACCAAGGTTGAAGCTCCTAAAACGAGATCAAAATCTCACAAGAGAGAGAGCGCAGAAAGTTGGATCAAAAGTGATATTTTCGTGCATTGCTCTGTTTTTATAAAGTGCGGGCGCGATGGTCTTGGCCACCATCGTGACTTAACTCGTCATGACTCATGAGTGTTGAACAACACAGACAAAAGTACTAGAAGGTGGTTTTGGTCGTGGGCGTGAACCCAACTTGCAGGCGGAACCATGCAAATCGCGGGCCTCCATCGTGGCCCACCGCGGGCCACACAATTTCTCTAGGCATAAGGACCAGAAGATTTGTTTTGGTTGCGGCCTGGTCGCAGGTGCAATCATTCCCAAAACAGACTCTCACTTTGTTTTCCTAGGACAGTTCTAAGTGTAAATTACGACTTCAAACAATATGCAAAGTACCAAAAGGAGTAAATAAGATAATAACATCACTCATCCATTTACAAGCCCACAAGTGTGTCGAAGCATCCATACAAGTCGGTTTCAAGTTGGGCTTTAGAATCAGAACATTACAGATCACCAATTGGTTTTTACTAGAGGAGGTGGCTATCAAAAATATCTTATTAAATGGAAAGGTCGTCCACTTTCAGATTGTATTGGATCACTGATGATGAGTTTCGTCGCCTTGACCATGATCTTTCCATGCTTTTAACTTGTCGGGGTTGAGTCTTCTCAAGCCAGGGAGAGATGATGAAGACAAGTGGCAGCATAATACTAAAGTCTATAAACAGCATGACAAAGATGCTTCTAAGGCTCAAGTTTTGATTTGGCACGTGTTAGATGATGCCAGGCTCACTTGGGACCTAGAATAAATTAATTTGAGTCTTTCATCTATTTATATTTATGTTTTAGGGTCAAGGGTATTTTTGTAATTTGCCGCATATCTGAAGTGGGTCTCAATAATGGGTTGTTGTGTTGACCCATGGGTCTTGGTATTGGTTTAATATATTTATGAGTTTTATTTGACATTAAATAGGTTTTAGAAGTCAGATTTTGTAATAGTTTCCTATTTTGGTCCTAGTTTGTTGAGGAAGTCTTCTAGTCCTACATAAAGCAATCTATTGCTTCTAATAAAATAACAATCAGAATTTATATAATTTTTAGAGCTTTGAGCCTCTTTAGGGTTTGTGTGATGCAATCCAACCCTAGATGTGATGCCTAAGGGATTCAAGGAGTAATTCATAGTTTTCATCATCCTTTTTATCTTTTCCTATTCTGTTCACAGATTACTACTTCCAGCCCATAATTAGTCTTTATTTTGTCACCAAATTCTTGTCTCCTTAAGCCCAAACCATTCATGACCAAACCCTAAACCACCCTTAGCATTATTTCACTAAACCTAACCCTAAGTTAGCTTAAACTTGCTTCAAACCTGTGTGCGTTGCATCAGCTTTATTTCAGAAGTGGTTATGAAACATTGTTAGGGAGCCTAATTCTCTTGGGCATTTAGTGATCTGATGCAGGTGTGGAAGGTAACCAGATTTGTGGGTTCCAAACCAGTGCAAGTAAAAATGAATCAATAGTGTCATGGTAGTTTGTATTAGTGTTGAATCTGCCTTGTTTTTGACATTAGGTATTCTTGGGGTATTTTATCATGTGGACCTTGTCTTCTTTGCTCTGAAGCTTAAATATTTTTATTGATAAGTTGATAGCTCTTTCTTTTCATATTTTTTCTTTGAATTTTTGAATTTTCAAAATTTAGTAACTTTATCCCGATTGTTCTTATAATTTCTTCCAAGTTTAATGTGCTCTTTCTTCTAATGTGCACCTCTTAATTGCTTTTTAAGCCTGGTTGAGGGGCAGGGGAAATAAATCTACTATTGATCATGAAATGGGGAGGAAAGAGCCACATGAATAAATTTTTGTTTCAAATTCAAAAGCAGTTGAAGGAGATTTTGAAATTCAAATTGACATAACAATTATGGACTGTTGATTTTGGATTATAATAGATGTGGCATAGAGGAATACACACGGGAACTAGGATATCGTTCTAGTAGACAAAAGGGCTTTCGAATTCGCAAGAAAAATGAAACCTTGAACCCGCAAGGAAGAGAATTATGAAAATATTATTTGAGTGGTGCTACATCCCCTGATTTTGTCCCCCCAATTCCACCTCTAATGATGTGGTCCACTCCCATGTGAAGTGGTCTAACACTCCTCTCCCTCTTATATCTATCTCTCTTAATTCCACATTATTAGATTTAGAGGTGAAATTGGGGGAGCAAAATTAGGGGGATGAATCATTATTCATATTATTTATCAAAAGTTGTATTTTTCATAAGACTTGCATAGCTATTTATAATAACCTAACCCTTGGAGACCAAGTAAACTTGAACATGAGAAAATCTGAAATTAGGAAACAGTAAACGAATTTAATGTTGGAAAACAAGAAACGTAAAAATTAGGAAAATAAAATAAATCCCAGTTAAGAAACCTAATGATTCTCTAATATTTATACTAAATTACAAGTTTCCTAATAAAATCTCATATAAAAAAAAATATTAGAAGTAAAAATGCAGAAATTCCTAAAATCTTGTCCAACTTCAAGATGTGCATTCCATCTATGTAATGAAGACGATCTAAATCCATTAATATTGTGTGTTTTTTTTTCTTCTCCCTATTAGATATTGTTTCTTTTTTATTCCGGAACATGGGTCTCTTGATCCAAATGGTTCCTTTTCTTGCAAGTTCTTTCTTCATTCCGTCTTATCAAAAGTAGTTAGTAATTTGTCTGAGAAACTCGACCTATGCAATTCACTTCAAGGTGAAAGACTTTGGTTAGTCCATCGCACATGTTATGGTGAACATTTTTTTTATGCTTCGAAATTGGAGGAGAAACCAAGTGCTCTGAAAAGATACTGATTTGCGTAGTATGTGCAAAGCAGCATTATGAGGGAAAATTTGTTCATCTTACATGGTGTCTGATTTTTGTGGCCTTCTTGTAGAAGATTGGATTAGTATGGTCATCCAAAGGGATATTTTTGTTACACATCCAAAGGGATATTATAACAAAGGTTCTTGGGTTTTGAGAGACATAGCAAAAGGTTGTTAAGGATCTCCACTTTGTGAATCTCTATTGGGATGATGTGGAATTATAATAGAGTAACTCAGAAATGGGAGTACGGCTGCATACATCGTGCCATCATCAAACCCTGCATTGTATTGCTTTTTTTGTTTTTGTTTTTGTTTTTGTTTTGTGTGTGTGTGAATGATGGGTTTTGGTTTGGATGTTAGAGCATTCAAGCATTGGTTGCTTGTTTAGAGACCTAGTTTTTACCTTTTTTAATCTGAGCTACAGCAGTTGAGGAAATTTCTTTAGTTTTTTTTATTTTATTTTCTGAACTTCTATGGTTTTAGAAGTAACAGAATTGACGATATATATAGGTCCATGTATTCTCTGATCCATGTTTGTCACATCAGCCATCTCTCTAAGGGGGCATTCTTATATTTATTTTGAGTAAATTTAAATCATTACTGTGGTTAGTTTGGCTGACGGTGGTTCAATTTCTGCAGGAAGAAGCATTTCAACAGCAATTTCAGCAGGAGCAGCACTGGCAGTCACTTCTGCATTGATCGATGCTGGGGGTCAGACCACCAGAATTGATAACGGGAAGGAGTACTACCCTTACACCACAAAGAAGAGGCCCAATGTCAACAACTAATCTCTCACTGCTGCTATTGAGAAAGAAGAATTTGGCATGTCGGTCTACCCGAGATGAGAGAACTGATTACTGTTTGCTAAATTGGCTGTATGTTTTTGGAGATGTATCCTACTCTTGCATTTTCTTTTCTTGGTGTTTACTTATTTTATGTTCTCAAGAGTCTCAGGACGATTTCAATAAAATGCTTTCTCTTTTTTGTTTATACTCTTGTATGACTATGAGTTATTATTTCCCTGTTTTGATGATTACAACTAATTTGAGGGTTCTTAACTTAAGGGTACGGTTGCATATAGTGTTGTTTTTTTATCGTGTGCTTAGCAACTTGGGGAAGGGGATATAGGCCATGATTGAGGCTTGAGAATTTAGTGGAAAATGTGGGAGGGATAAGGTGTGTTCTCTTGGAATGCTATCAACAATAAGTTGTTATTATTTCTAGTATTGGGATCTTTCCTGTTATTTTGGTATGTTCGAATTCTGTTATTTTGGGGTGTTTAAATTCTTCTTGGGCCTCCCAGCCAATATATATATATATATATATATTTGGTTCCAGTTTTTAAAAAATAGTTTTCATAAAATTTTACTTATTTATTTTTCGTATTTTAATGTTTTCAATGAATTTTTTTAATATTTCAAGTATTTTCTTTTTAATTTTTAGACACACTTAACATAAACACTTACAAAGTATAATATTTGTGAAAAAAAAAATCTTTAAAAAATGCACTAAATATCGAAAAATACAAAAAAAAAAATACAAAAGTTTAGTACATTTTTATATTTTTGTGTATTTATTAATTTTTTAAAAATATTTTTCACAAATATTTTATTATTTAGATACATCTAAGTAAAGTGCATTTAAAAAAGTAAAAAAATTACTTATAATTTAAAAAATATTCACTAAAAACAAAAAATTTAGTTTTTAAAAAATTAAATTTAGAAAACTGAAACCAAAAATACTATTCTCGGACTTTTTTAATTTTTATTTTTATTTTTTGACTAAACAAAGTAAAAAATTAAAATGTGTTCAGTATGTAAAATACTATTTTTGGACTTTTTTAATTTTTATTTTTATTTTTTGACTAAACAAAGTAAAAAATTAAAATGTGTTCAGTATGTATATAAAAAAGAGTATAAAATGTAAATAGTTGAGTTTTCTAACCCTTACTTTGGATTGGCAAGACCGCCATCCCTTCCAACCGCCAGATCTATCTGTGTGAATGGAAAATAAGAAACGTATAAAATGTAAATAGCTGAGTTTTCTAACCCTTACCTTGGATTGGTAAGGAACTATAGCTTTGACTCATAGGCTCAGCGTACACAATCAATATTAACCCTAGGGCTCCATTCTTAATAGGAGTCTTCTGTTTATTGTTTTCCGATAATATTTAGTTGAAACAAACAAATCATGATCCATCTAGAGAAAGAATTGAAAGTTGAAAAGTCATAAACCTTAACTAAGAGTGAGTGACGAAGCACAGAATAGAAAACCAATCTGTCTCTCTTCTCTATCTCTCTCACTCTTAGATCTAGGGTTACGAGATGCCGGGTCTGAAAGCGCCCGACAATCTAAATCTTTGGTTTGATTCCACAAGTGTAATATGGAATGGAATGAGAGTCCATGTATGCAATCTATAAAAAATAAACTAATCATAAGAAATGCTAAAAATGGACTACATCGCCAGATTTGAAACTGTTATCTAATATTTTGGAAGAAACTAGGAAATCCATAAGTCGTGCCAAAAGATCATGATCTGTCGTAACTAAAATGTCTCGGCTCGAAAACTTAGTTATGAGAGGGGCAGGGTAATGAATTGGGCACCCACACTCATCCGATCAAAGATCGGCCTCTACTCGTCTATGATATAAGAATTATTAACATGATATGATCATATAACCCAATTATTATTGCTATTTTTACTATGTGAAGTAGACAAATATAGATAAAATCACCTATTTTAGAATGTTATAATCTCCCGCTATTTTGAAGAGAGTTTGAAAAGCAGAAATCTCATGAAAAATCGCGAAATCTGCCAAGCAAGGAGATCAGAACTATTCCAACTTAGACAATGAGACCTCCATACAATGAGCAGTCATAGAGATATAGCAAGCAAGAATGTAGTCTGATGGTAGCATGCTGGACATAATAAGAAGCAATCACAAGTAGGATGGAAAGATAAAAGAAGCTCACTAAATACTCCTCTACACCATGCTAAGAGTGTAAAGGGTTAGAAAACAATGCATGATCCTATATGCTAAACTAAATGAAATATGAAGAAGAGATTAGAGATACTCATCAGGTACTCCAGCCAAGCGAAAATAAGAAATAACCTAAAAAAAATAAATTCATGATCCTAGATACAATATCTAATGTGCGGTACGCATAGAATGCATTCTAAGAGCCCAGACACAATCAAGATGGCATATGAATCACCAAAGTGCGCATATCACATAGCTTTGACTCTAAAATAGAAAAGAAAGTAATTCAGGTTTGGACAAAGCCGCTATACAGGCCTCAGCTAGCTATAGAAAAGATGGAAAATGGGACAAACCAACTAAGCTAGCTGCAAATCAATCAACAATTTAAAAGATCTCCAAAGATGTAATCAAGAAAGAGAGTAGAGATAGATTTTGGAAGAAAATGAAAGTAGGGACTACCTCTAGAATAGCAGAGATAGGGCCCAAGCTGATCACAAGCTCTAACCCAAGCACCCTCTGATCAATAGAGGTCTTCTGACTCCAAATCATCCAAGCAAAGGTATGCAGAAAATATTCCAAAATTCTCACCAAACTCTCTTTCAGTGTATTTGATTAAGCATTAGAGGATTAGGAATTAGGGATGTTGATTAAAAATTTTGGAACCCTTCTCCCTCAAGATGGGGAGTGATTTTATATGCATTTGGAGCTTGGAATATGCCTCTAGATTCCATGGATGCGAATGACATATTCCGAGATCCTTGGGACACTCCTCAAGAAAAGTGCTTGGCGAACATCATAATAAGATGCACTAGATAAAACTTGTCTAGCTGGAGTACAGTAGTCCGGTGTATTTCCTCAGAAATTTATCTGGTGAAGCTAGAAAAGACTCAGAGATGCGTCTAGGATCAAAGTTGTTTGGTGTGTTGCATGAAAAATGCTCTGTAGGTCAGAAAAGATCTGGGTACGCTTTGTAACGCCCTAAAATAATAACAATAAACCATCTCATGATATTTAATAGAAAACATATACATACTAAATATTAACCTTTCATTTATGTTCCTTTACCGTACAAAAGATGACATATGCGAGAATACATTCACAAATCCCAGATCTTGAATCTATTGCATATGCCAAATATGCATGAACTGAAATAAAAGATAATACAGATGAGTTTATGCCCTAATAGCTACATCTTTCCAAAACATTGCTTGGTTACAACAAGATGAACCTTTAGGTCGAGGCTTGTACAAAAGATAATTACAACAAACAAATAAAAATAAGCCTTTAGCTCCATGGTCCTCCCAAGCTAAGTCCTTGGTGGAGGCATACCATCAGTACCTGAAATTTGTTTTCCATATAGGGTGAGCTAAAACCCAGTAGAGATACTTTAACACTATGTATAAAACTTAACAAAGTCATAAGGTGAATGCACGTGCATGTCATTTGCTAAAACATTATACTTTTCCATCTTAAAACAGTGCAATGCCATTATCAATATATTTCAATTTATGAAAAATACACTTTTATAATAGAAAACAGGGCAGTGGATACAAAACGCTAGGAATTTCTAGGTATGTGTCTGCCAGTAGGCTATACAAGCACTATCAAAATCATTTTACCAATACTAATTGGAAGGATCGGCACTAACCGCACAAGTTTCTGAACTTTTACCAAGGACACACAGGTCAACAATATAAACCACAACCATACCTCCTAACATGATTTACTAAGGTATACACACATTTTTCTCAAAAATAATGCATTTTCAATATTCAAATATGAAACAAAGTTCAATGCAAAATGAATGAGTAATTAGTTTTAATTAACCTAATTCTCATGCAATTTCTACAACAATCAAAGCTATCCTCCACCAATAGCCCAAAATAGATATTTCTACTCAACATATAATTTCCAACAATAGATAAAATCTTATAAATTTCAAAATGGGAGTGATAATAAATATCCAACTCCGCTCTCATCATCAATAGATACATTCTCAATATCTTTTCAAAGCCCAACATCATTTTCTTTTCTTTCATAATTCAACATCCATGACTTTTTCCAAACAAAGCCTCCTTTATTTTCAAAATTATATTTAAGGAAGGAATTTCCAACACAACCCAACAATGTACACACTTCCACAACTTTTCTCAAGGATTTATTTGAAAAACCCTTCTTTTACATTTCAAAATCAAACCTTAGATTTAACCAAAAATTTCCAAACCACTATACATTTTCAAAGAGCAAATAACAGGTTAAGAATCATACTAAAGGTTAAAGAAGTCCCTACCTCAAGAGTAGAAGAGGAAGAGAGCAAGGGTAAAACTTTGACATAGCCAAAAATAAGATCCACTTTGATTAAAATGAAGCTTTTGGTGAGCTCTACCTTTTTCTGCATGGAGCTATGGTAGAGAAATCAATGGGTAAGGGTGTATTTGAGGTTTTAAAGCAAGAACTAGAGAGAGAGCGTGTATGTGTGTAGAAATTAGGGTTAGAGGTCTTTTAGAGAGAGAGAAAGAGAGAGAAATTGACAAAACCTCCTTTTTCCCAAATTGATATATGCACAGACCGCTTGAGCGACCAAACCACCACTCAAGCATCAAACACAATAAGTGACACCATTCGAGTGACCAAAATACTGCTTGAGCGCACAATGACCCCTTTCTAGAAGTTTTGCAGATTGAAGAAGACCGCTCGAGCACCGGAAAGACCATTCGAGCTAAGATACCCTACTCCCAGAATTTTTGCAAACCTGCAAAAATACTGGGAGATATCAAAGACTGCTCGAGTGACCAAAACACTGCTCGATTGAACCAGAAGAAAACTGAATAGCAACTCTTTTGAAAAACTAACTCCTAACTACTCAATTCAACTACCAATAAGATAAAAAAGAGCATGAACAACGATTACAGACATGGAATCCCAGATCTAAGAGCATGAAATGGGTTGAGTTTAAATCAAAGTCGTTATAATCTCCTCGCTTAAGAAATTTTGTCCCCAAAATTTAAA